ATTTGACCTGACCTTGATCTGACCTTTACCAGAACATAATCTAAACTGGTTCCAAAGGCTGCCTGACCCACATATCGCATTTGACATATAAAATGAATCATAAAACATGCCTCACATGATATTTTCAAATTGTGACCCTTAGTGATCGGACCTATGTGACCTGACCTAGTGTCAGTGACCTCAAATAGCAAAATATGTGTTTGACGAACAATTCCCCATCGATGATTTTCAATGAAATACTCGATTTTATAACGCATTTCTTGAAATGCCTGTAAGCGGTGAAAATTCTGACATTTGACCTGACCTGTGACTAGAGGTGGCAAAATGTGGACCCGAGGACCCGGTCAAAAGACCCAGTCTGGACCCATCTGGGTCTAGACCGGTTCCTGGACATTTTCTGATGGGTCCAACCGGGTCCTACCAAAAACTATAGGCATCTTGCACACCACACATTATTGCAAAATATGAAGTGAATGGAGTGAATGTTTCCTTACACACAGTAGCTTATGAGTATTCCCAATGGGAAATAGGCTGTTTTACATTATGCAACTAATGATACCTACAAGTAGTTTGTATTAATTGACTTTTGAGGAACGGGTCCAACTGGTTCCGATTCCAACTAAGACCGGGTCCGACTGGTTCCAGAAATGTCCAGCCGGGTCTGGTTCGAGTCTGGTTCCAAAAATTTTCATCTTTTGCCACCTCTACCTGTGACTTCATCGGTTTGACCAAGGTCGATGAAAGTGGGTCACAAGGTAGTTCCCTGATGGGGCTATCCAACACCGTTTGCCGCTTGTCGCTATGTTGCGTGGTTCTCGAGATCTTAGGGGGGGGGCAAGTTGCCCCCCCCCCTCCCAACAGGGCGCGTATCTCGGCAGACCCCAACGGGGCACGGCCTAAAAGTTACCAGTTTGGGTTGCACAGATGCTTATGTGCCTCATTTGGCAAATAATCAGACATATTTTTTCTAATAAACACTGAAATAAATTCATGATAGTTATGAATATATTTATTGTAATAGAGATTTGGTGCAGATTTGGTCAAATTAGGTTCAGTCGCCAGATAGCCCGTCGTGAAAACGGCTGATATTCCAAGGAAGTTGCGGAACAATGTAATGCTTATGTTACTACGTGTGATAAGAATTGTTAAAAAAGAACTCTCATGTGCATTATTTTATTATTATGTTGTCGTGCTGTTTTGAATGTACGAACAAGCATGATGGTGTTGCTTTTACATGCCCGTTAGCTCGATACTAACTCGCAGCATTTTCCTGGGCCGAGCTCTGTCTGGATATAAAACCGCTCTGCTGCCCTCAGCAGTCACTTCACCATCACAGTCCAAAGGCAGCGGCAGCACAGCTCCAAAACCCTCAACTTCCAAATCACCATCATGAAGGTGGGGCTTTACGACGGAAGCAGTTTAATTAAAGGAGCAGTTAAGTTGTGCTTGATCTTCTAGCCTATTTTCAACGTCTATTCCAGCTGGTTCGTGCACAGTTAAGCATGAATTCATTCTCTGTTATTATGCACTAATCAAACTGAAATGTTTGATTTAGGTCGTTCCCTAAACGATCATTAAAAGTGGTAACGATTTACCACTTCACTATAGACGAAATGTTATCAGTAAAATGTGAGCAGGAGGTATAAAGATTAAGGTTTATTTTCTTTTTTCAGCTGGTCATCCTCCTCACCCTGGTGGCTGCTGCCGCTGCCAGCTTCTCCCCCTACTACTACTACAAAAACAACTACTACTACCCTTACCACCGGGGTGGCTTCCGTGCCCTGAGCGGCCTCGGCGGACTGAACAGCTTCGGTGGACTGAACAGCTTCGGTGGACTAAGCGCCTTCGGTGGCCTGAATGGCTTTGGCAATGGCTTCGGAAACTTCGGCAGCTTCGGCCATGGATTCAACAGCAACTTCGGTCACGGATTCAGCGGAAACTTTGGCCACGGCTTTGGTGGAGTCAGCAGTGCCTTCGGCCTTGGACTCGGCAGCAACTTCGGCCTTGGACTCGGCAGCAGCTTCGGCCTTGGTCTCGGCGGCAACTTCGGCCTTGGACTCGGCAGCAACTTCGGCCACGGATTCAGCAGCAACTTCGGCCACAGTTTTAATGCATTCGGCAGCAACTTCGGCCTTGGCCTCGGCGGCAACTTTGGCGGCAGGGGAAGGTACGGATGCCCCTACGGATACTACTGCTAATCGGTATATTTGGATGAGCACGTCACAATATCCTCCTCTTGCATTGCCGGCTGACCGTATTCGCTTCAGTGTCTTGCAGTGTCCTCTGTGCGACTGGGTGAACTGAGAATGTCTGTGTGTTTGTCCTTTTTCAGCAAATAAAACATATTTAATTTATTTTATTGTATGCGCTGTACGGCGAAGGCGATTCTTAGGAAGGACATTGTTGATATGCGAAAGTAAGAAAAAATATGTTTTTAGATAAAATATTGATTAAATTTAAAACAATCACGTTTGAAAAAAAAAAAACGAGGAAAAAATGTTGGTTTAAATTTATACTTAAAGGACGAACGCCACAGCATAAATGTACACCAGGCCCAGGCCAACCCCTAGTTCAAAGCTCAGATTAAAACCGCTGTCCCCAAAGTCACAATGAAACATATTTAGAGTCCTAATTTTGAGTGTGTCATAATTCCGGAAACTCAATAAATAGGAAAGAAGCAATGGAGTCATAAGCTGGCCGTTGGCAAATTCAGCATAGTTAATTCATCCGTTTCGGAACGACACCATTTTCAGAAGTGGAGGAACGGACTCGTCACATGAAAAAGTGTAACTAACCAAGAAGCTTCCGTTACATTTGCGGTTCATTTCTCCGTTCTGCCTTACTCCACTTTGGGTTATATTCAGAGTCAATCAATCTTGCAATCAATCCCAAGCATTTATGACAGCGGAGTAGCAGCTTGTGTTTTTTTTTCAGTGATTCGTCTGAGTGTCAGCCGACACACACGATGCCGATTTCCTTCGATTCGCTGTCGAGCCCGCCGGTCCCTCGGTACGTCCCTCGTCCCAGCCACCACCTGTGTTGCACCCCGCGGGGCTGGTTTCGAGGCTATGTCACTCATCCCAGTCCGCCAGTTCCTCATCGCCAACCGTTGGTCCTCGTCCCAATCAGTCAGTCCTTCATCGCAGCCCGGCGCTCCCCGTCCCGGTCTGCCAGTCCATCGTAACCATCCGCCGACTCCCAGCTGGCAACGTGCGCCGGGGTTTTGGCTAGCGTCTCGCTGTCTCCAGCAAGTCGCCACTTAAACCCACCATAATAGGCTGTCCTTGTATGGACTTAGTTGGCGGCGCCATATCTCGGTGCGTTTAGTTGGCGGCTCACTATAGCCGCTGTTTTGGAGCAGATTCTGAAGACGAATCGCCGTCTCGGCAGGTATCAGATTCAGAGTCTCTCTGTCTCTGTCTCGCTGTCTAGGTCTCAGCCTAATTTTTTCGTAACGGAGACCTTCCATTACATTTTATGCAGAAGAACGGAGGAACCCGTCACGAATTCATGATTGTGAGAAACTAATGCTCACCTATATGCAATTGATGCGTTGCACACGAAAATCCCACATTGTTTGAAATATCCGAATGACTGAGGCTGTTGCGTAAAACCATAATTCATGAGCCCATCACTCGAGGTCCGACTTCTTCGCCGAACGACTTTTATGAATTGTGTCTGAATTCTGATGTGTAAGTACCTATCAGCTGGTAGAACACGGTCCTCTTGAGCCAAGCTTGGTCCTCTCTGCGCCAGTCGTCAGATGGCACGAACAACGAAACTGTTCAGACCGAGTGCCCTCGGTCCGCCTCGAATCTTTGGTCACTGAGTCCCCAGTCGGATACCTGATCAGCTATAAAGTAAGTCACAAGAAGGGCTTTTTCGATTAACAGTTGTGATTTTATTTTTCAGCCATTCGCTAAAACTGAAGGTTTCTGTGCAACGTGATAGTTTATATTTGCGATGACTGCAACCTTCACTAGTGGATTTGGGGAGCGCTCGAATTTCGCCGTCATGAAAAAATATAACTTTTATTTAGTTTTTATTTGCGATGACTACAACCTTCACTAGTGGATTTGGGGAGCGCTCGAATTTCGCCGTCATGAAAAATATACTTTTATTAGGCGAAGTTTGTTAATCGCACAGAAGGCAAAGGAAGCAAAATCCACTTTTTTCATGAAACTAGAGAATCTGTCTGTGTGGGTGTTACAATACAATACAAACCCACGGCTCTTGAAACCCCAATATAGATTCGTCAATGCAAACTTTTGGCTATTGTCGCCACAATGGGCGGGGTGTTTCACTTTCACAAAGGCTGAACTCAATATTAGGCTTGAACGGACCAGTTGACCGTATTTAGGATGTGTGTCTTTTCTGTAATGCGCGGGTGACTGATCAGTAGCAATATAACAAACCGAAGGACAGTTCTTGTTTTCGTCGAAATATTATTGACTTCAACCCAGTAAGAACAAAGCAGAAATGGTATGCAGTCTAAGCATTGTGGTGTATACCTATAAATACCTATGTCGTAGTGAAATGTCGGATTTCGGCCGATGCCTTCTATTGTATGTAGTACCTGCATCATTGTGCTTCGGTAGATACCAGTAGCATATGGCCTGTGGGGCAAGGATTGCTAGCTGCAACAAAATATTTTCCTGCCCGGGGCCGGGATGATTCAATAAATGTCACCGAGGCTTTTTCTAGCGAAAACTCCGAGGGCTAACGGCCCGAGGTGATTTTGCTAAAAAAAAGCGAGGTGACATTTATGGAATTCCCGGCCTTAGGGCTGGAAGGTGTTTCCCATACCTGCCAAAAGCTCACAACTATATGATAGTGACGTCAGCAGCCGTGTGGTTCAACATGTTGAACCACACCCCTTGAACCACACGGCTGGTAATATTAAAGCATTGCATTAAACTTTGAAAAGTGTGGTACAGTGCACGTGCCGTTTAAATGCCTGGATGTCTCGATTTAATCATGCAATGTAGCAGGTATGGGAAATAGGAAAAACACATGCTTTAGGCTGTTGAAAACTTTATTTTAGAAGAACAGTTTTAGGGACGGACAGGCACATGTACTTACTAACATACACACAGGTACACACACAAACATACAACGGAAATAGACCACAATATCCTAAAAGTTTTCTGGACAGGCGGCGTGTCAGAATCCATATTGCATATTGTGCATCGGAATCTATGTCCTCATGATGATCATGTGTCCTTGGTTCTTGGTCCTTCAGCAGTAATAACCATATTGGCAGCCGTACCCTCCTCTTCCTCCGAAGTTGCCGAAGTTGCCACCGAAGCCGCCACCGAGGAAGCGGCCACCGAAACGGCCACCCAGGCCAAAACGTTGGCCGCCACCAAAGGCAAAGCCGCTTCCGATAGCCCCGAAAGCACTGCCGCCGAAGATGCCACCGCCGCTAAGGCCTCCGCGGTGGTAGGGGAAGTAGGGGTAATACGGGCGGTACGGGTAGTAGTAGGGCCTGTGGTAATACGACGGGAAGCTGGCAGCGGCAACGGACACCAGGGCCAGAAGAATTACCAGCTGAAAACAGAAAACATAGGCGTTAGATGCAAGGCAGTATGATGGCCTGATGGCTCACTTCGCATTCGATTGGTAGATCGTGATTCGCTTTTGTCTGCGAAACTTTTCTTGAGCAGTGCTGACTGCTGGACTCTAATGGAAACCGACCGGATTGTCATTCTGCCCCCGTAGGCAAAGGACTTTTCATTTGAGAAAGTTTGGTTTACTAATTCTAGACGAACTCCCTGTGACTGCGCCTACAATTCGTACAATACAATCCGATGTTCTCTTTTGCAGTTCATTCGCTGGATGATGTCCACTCCTTAAAAACTTGATGGGATCTCCCTGGGTACCTATCCCAGCTCCCTGGGTACCTATCCCAGTTGCTGATACTGAGCCCCACCTTGGTCATTTTCAGACGTTGTACGGCCCTCCAGCAAAAGAGTGGTTGGTTAGGCTATGTGCTTTTGGTGTAATAACTTCGAATGACAGAGACACTCATGTAAAATGACTCAATAGAAATGAGAAATGGGGTTGTGCACACACTTCGGCAATAGTTATCAACAGCCATTAGACGTATTCGTCAATGCAGATCGCTTATTTTGATGTTGGCAGGCCAACCACTTAATACCTGGAGGGCCGTACCCTCTATTCGTTATTCTGCAAATTGACCGGATTTACCTTCATGGCGAGGCCGAGTGCAGGGCTTCGGAGCTGGGTTGTAGCTGTCGCAGACTGAGATAGGGAAGTGATGTGTGGGTACGGCAGTGCCGTTTTATAGCTCTGCTGTCCCTACTGGGCCTCAGGCAAAACAAGCTGACGTAGCGGCTGTCCGCTGTGCACACCGCAAAACGGACTCGTGACGCTGGTCATTTGTTTTAAGAAGTTGCATACCTCACGATAACTTTTTGACAATGAAGGTGACAAGCGATTGCTGTTGCGTCGAAGAAAGTCTGATAATCCTAGATTCATACTTTCTCAAAGCAAATGGCGGAATATGCGGAAAACTGCCACTGACTGACCGAAAGAATTATAATTTACCAAGCATAGGCTGACTTAGGTGCTTGTTTCATACGAAATGCGAAGTCGTACGCTACTCGCTCTGGCCTCTGCACTATAATTGACCAATATATCTACATATATCATGATCCATGATCACTGCCGCAAATTAAATGACAAAATAACATTGATATGTAACTCATTACATATAAATGCTTATTAAATAATTAATAATAATATGTTACTCTTATCAATCGCTGAAAGTTTCAAGGCGATCGTTCAGTCGTTGTAACTAAGACTAGCATTCTAACTTCTTCTGAGGTGAGGTCACTTGACGTGACCTGATGACCTGACCTTGTGCGACCTGGGTCTGAAATTTTCGCAACATGTGAGGAACAGATGCATGAATATGTGTGCCACACTGCCAAGTGCCGCCGTTTTTTGAAATATTTGCGAAAAAACCACATGGGAATGTTCAGACACCCTTCCCCGCCCGGCGGGAGTAAAATCACTTGGCAATTCATAGTCTGCATGGTGCCTTTTGATCACTTCGTCAATCACATGCATGCCTTTTATGCATAAGTCTATCGACAGGATGGCCGATTTAGACCTGAATGTGCATTGTGCGGGCAAGTCGAAGCCGAAGGCGGCCGGACGAGAACTGAGCCGCTTGTTCACACGTCAATAAGTCCCCTAATTGTAGTAGTCTCTGATCCGTTCACTGAGGCGGCTATAAAGCTCTTACCTCTCATTGCCGTGGAAGCGCCTCTGTCTACCATAGGTCTCTGTCACGCTGGGCGCGATTGGCCGGGAGCAGTCCAACTGCGTCCATCGCTCATCACTGCCGGACCATCCCCGGTCGGCGGCCGCCGCTATTGGTGCTCCGCCCAACAGACGAGTCCATTACACACTGCGGGTGGGTCCACTTCGGTTTGATCCTGGTGAGAGTCGTGGTGAGAGTGACATCCATGGCGAGATTTCCGTTAGGTCTCTACAAGCTTCACTGGACACTGACCAACCTGGACCAGCCTCTGACCATCTCTTCGCAGTGACCAAGGAATAGCCTTTTTAAGCCTCGCCTCTATAGGGGGGGGGGGGGGGTCGAAAGGACCCCCGCGAGTTATTGGTTTTTCGTCAATAACTCGCGTAAAAAGCGGCTGATCACGACGAAACTTTAAGTACCCTCGAATTGATCAATTTTACACCTACCCTAAAAATTTCATGGCCCTGACCCAAATGACTTTTGACCTGTGACTTATTTCTCGAGACCATGTTTGGCCGGCATCGCGATTCGGCGTATGTCGGCTCGCATTTGCCGCGCATTTGCAGTCTTTTCGTGGTTTCAAGCGTTCAAGCATGTGATATGCTGTTGGTCCCATGACTTAAGGCCTGGCTACACTATGCGTTTTCTGCGTGCGCTTTTTGCGTGTTTGCGGGTTTTGCGTAATATCGTTCTAGAAAAAAAAGGTTATTATTAATTAAACTTCTTTTATATTTATATAAAAGTTAATAAAACGTTTATGTTAATTAAAAGTTTATATGAAAAACGTAGGTATAACAAAAACGTAATGTCGTTTCTTTCTAGAACGATATACCGCAAATCACGCAAACTCGCAAAAAACGCACGCAGAAAACGCGTAGTGTAGCCAGGCCTTAAGGGTAGGTAAAAAGGTCAGCTGAAGGTCAGGTTAGGTCACTGACCTTTGATGACCTTGGTTTACTTTTTCGAGTTTTATATGTTTCTAGGCTAGTTTTTGGAGATGAATTCGAGTTCAGCAACTATTTGAACATTAACGAAGTAGTTTTGGTGCCTTCGTTACATGTTACGAAGCTGTCAGAGGCAGTTGACACGTAGTATGAATGCCCGGCAGGACCCCTATTGGTTGACCTGACCTGACCTGACCCGACCTGGCCTAAATGCATCATCTGTGATCAAAACTAACATGATATTCGTGATCAGCACCCTGAAAACCTCATGGCAGCCACAGTTAACGACGTTCTAACGGCAGCTCCCGATTTTCCCGACTTTTAGGTCATTGACCTGACCTGCAAGGTCAACCAATGACCTAGGATCTTAAAATGCAGTGTCATCGGCTTCCTCGTCACGGGCAACACGCTCGTTTTTTTCCGCGAAGCTCTAGCTCGATCAGGGGCCAATCGGCAAGGGGGGGGGGGTCCAATGGACACCCCCCCCCCATACGTTCGCGGCTGGCAAAACACCAATACGGGTGAGGGTTAAGCCACGCATAACTGGGAAAGCGGAGGCATTTTCAGAACCCCTTATCGTTTTTCTGCAATATCTTCCATTACTAGAAAATAAATCGGTGCCGGCTGCGAATTTAATTCCTGATTTTGAGCCGATTCACTGGCAAAAAAAAAAACGGACTAGGATGCATTTCATTAAACACGTAGGTATGCAGTTTAATTACAATGAGAAACTGTTCTATAATTATTCAGCTCGATTTTTATTTGCAGCTGGTGATGGCTCGATTTTATTTTATAATAATATCCTGTCACAAAAGGACTCCTCACCGGCTATCCCAACTAATACTTTTTTAAACTCGAATTTCGCAACCTACTATTTCCACAAAACCAAGTTTTTGGGACAACACGGCCAATTAACTTATCTAGCTAACAGGATATCAACATTTTATACATCACGCAAGGTATGTCATAAAAATGAAAAAGAGCTTACTATGCCAGGCTTCCCCCGGCTTCCCCTATCCTTGCTAGAGGCTATTTCAATGATTCGGGTCAACCATAATAATTTAGTCCTTTTTCTATCCTGAGGCTCTAAATGAATGCTTACAGAGAGTAAAATGGATGCCAGATTCGTAATCAGCGGCTACGAATACATCATATACTTCATGTGTTAAGGTCAACCAAAGGTGATTCGAGGTCACATGAGGTCAACATAAAATTTTACCTCTCCAAAGCAGAATATATGTCATTCGACGCGTCTTGACAAGACGAATCTGCTTTAGGTACCTCTGGGACCATATTTGTTGTTATTTGTGAAAAGTAAAAACTGAAACCCTAGCTTGGGATCGTTGACCTGACCTCTGACCTCAGGTCACCAAAATCTTTTTTCTTTCTACCTAAGTCATATGCTACACATCCGTGCTCGTAATTTGTATTTATCTCTTTAACTTTATTTTTTGCAGCTATTTGAAGCTCACGTCTGTGACGTCAAAATTTACACAGGGTTGGAAAAATCGACGTTGTGACGTCATCAAAACGCTGGGTCCAAATCCCTTCCTCCAGGAGATATCAACTTAATGCGCGATGGGGTAATGAAGGTTTGGTGATTCTATCCCCAAGCGTTCGGGAGCTATCGCAAATATTCGTCAGGTGGCTGGTGGGAGCTAGTAAAAATTTCCCCCTTGGCCAAAGAGGGTTAACCCTATTCGGGGCGGGGGCCGAAAAGCCCCCCCCCCCCTCAGGTTGTTCTTGTGCCATTGCCAAACACCGCAAGAAGACATTCAGCTCATACTTGGTCATACCTACAGCTCATACATATTTTTCAGGATTATTTAGCAAAAGCATTCGAAAAATGTTTTTTAAGAATTAACAAGGTTCTCTCATTTGTTTGCTCGAGTCCGCTGTGACACCCACATCTATTTTTAATTAATTTGACACTGTATTTATGTGTGATAGTTGTGTGATTTTGCAAGTTTTATTTGACTCCGTCTTTAAGTGGACATGACCTGTAGACGGTGATGAGAAATACAGAATACAATACAGAATGCTTGGTGACTTTTCCTAAATATTCATTGCCCGCATTTCAGCAAAAACAAAAATGGCCGGGTCAGGTCAGGTCAGGTCACTCACCAGAGCGGGTTTGTTAACCCCGCGTCAGAACAGTTTGCAGTCATGTCAGAGCTAGAGTCTTTCACGGAGCGATTTCCTCTTTTCTTCATTGCAGTACCAACTACCACTATGTGTAAGTTGTATACCTATCTCAGAATTTTTACATCTGTGACATGAGGTCAGGTCATATGACATTCATTACAGTACCAGTAGCCAGTAGGTATGTGTAATTTGTATAACTCAGAATCTTTATATCTGTGACCTAAGGTCAGGTCACATTACATTCATTACACTACCATTATGTTTAAATTTTTTATCTCAGAATTTTATATCTGTGACCTGAGGTCAGGTCAGAGTCGTGACCTATACATTACAAGCCTATGGGAAAATATTGAAATGCGTCCTGCTTCGAGTCAAAACCACCCATTTCTTCAGGATTATGACAGATTATCTGTTCTGTAATGATCCAGGTGTCATTTACAGACAAGGGCACCGGGAAGGGTCATCTGAGGTCATGTGACGTCATCGACATTTTTTAGCTTTAGCCAATAAATCACGATATGATGGTGCTATAGGCTTGTAAATGGTGCGATACTGTTTGCCTGGTCATAACGTGTTGACTGGTATCCAGCGTGACCTACCTAGGTCAAATTTTGAAGTTCACCCATCAAGGTCATGCAAGTATCTGTTTCAAACATTTTATTTTTGATGATGTTTGGTGACTTCAACATTGACCAGACCCAAAAAGTTATCTATAAGAGTTGTAGGTCTTTCAACGAAGTATCAAACGTTGTTTATCGTTTGTCGCTCTGATTCGTGGTCTTCAAGATCTGACGGGGGGGCAAAAAGCCCCTCCCCCCTCCCGCCCGATTCCGAACCTAACAGAGCCCGCCCGCAATAGGGTTAATGAGCAGTGCAATTAAAGACCCGTCGCTTGTTGTCGTATAGGATAACAACTGAGCCAACATGAT